ACTAAAACTCTTAGTTAGAGAACAAAACAATCAACACTAGAATATTGACCTACACATTAAATCCCATGATTTATGCACATTAAAACTTCCTAAATTTACATAAATCTTAACTGGTGTATAATAGACACTTGCATGTTTGCTTAGGATAGCCTGGAGATTAGCTCTCGTTAGTCTTTAGGAAAAATTATTCTACTCAAAATTTCAAAAAAAATTAAATAACCTAGAAAGATACATTATTATATGGATGTAAATGGTGTTCGACCAAGTCCATAACATATTACTTCCATTCCTTATTTAAGCAACTATCCACCTTCAGGTTCAGGGTAGACTACCTAACCTATTATGGTATATTTCGATCTCAGGGGAGGCCTTCTCCATAGGATAAAATTTATTTTTAAGCCTTTTTCAAAAATTTCAACATATAATTTTTTATATATGACTAGCTTGAATTATTAAACATTTGTAAGAGATGTACCATAGTGTATGCTTTTTTCTGATTATATTCTTCTTGTTGATAAGAATAAAGAAAGAGTTGAAGGTAAACTTGAATTATGGAGGTCAAACTTAGAGTCTAAAGGTTCTTTCGAGTAGATCTAAAATTGAATATATATAGTGTAATTTTAGTAGTAATAGATATGGTGAAGGGTTTGTGACTTTGAGCGATCAAGCCACTAATAAGAGTATACATTTTAGATATATTGGGTCTATTGATCAGAGTTATGATGAAATAAATGGGGATATTATTAGCAGAATTCAAGTTAGATAGTTGAAGTGGAGGAGTGCATTAAGATTGTTGTGTGATAGAAAAGTCCCCCTCAAACTTAAAGAAAAATTCTATAAGATGGTGGTGAGACTTGCAATGCTTTATGGTGCAGAATGTTGGCCATTAAAAGAAAATAAAAATATTAAGTTAAGTACTGTAGAAATTAGGATGCTTAGGCGGCTGAGTGGCTTTACTCTTTAAGACAGGATACGAAATGAGCATATATATGAAAAGGTTGGAGTAGCTACAGTGGAAGATAAGATTATAGAGTAACATTAGATGATTTTGTCACACAGAACGGTGGCCTTCTAATGACCCGGTTAGGAAAGTAGATGTATTAGATTTGGCTTATGTTAAGAGGGGTAAAGATATACCTAAAAAGACTTGGTTAGAAATTACTAGAAGTGACCTTTTTTTTTAGATTTAAATGAGAATTAGATTCTTAATAGGACACAATGGAGAACAAATGTTCATGTAGTCGACCCCACGTAGTGGGATTAAGGCTTGATGATGATGTTGTTGTTAACTAGTATGAATTACATTAACAATTCACAAAAAAATTAATAATTGCATCTATCTATTTTTAGAAGCAAGATCTATCATTCATAAACAAGGGCTATTTATGATTTTTTTATATGTTAGTCCTAATTTCCTAATTCAACAACAATAATCTATCTTGCATTTCATGGAGACCTGTAGACATCAAGGTTTTAAAGTGCTAGATTGAGTTTAGCTGATAATCCTATCTATAGAGGGTTATAAGTACAAAAGAGTCGAACTTTCTTAAACTTTTGGCAGGCGAAAAATATTAGTCCCATTGTATTTCATTAGATTAGGTTGGAGTCATTACCATATAGTGGCTCACCTTAGATGTTGGTTTCGATGCCGATTAATATATCATAAGTTCTCATTTTCTAGGTGTTGTCCTGATCTAATGATAAAAAATATAAGTCTCAAATTTCTAATAAAATACAAACTTAAATAATAATAAATCTCATTCTAAAATATTAAAACCCAATTATAGGATAAGATGAAACACTTCTAATAGTCTCAGAATCCTAGTGCTCTTTACTCTTCCTCCTACTCTAGAAAGAACTGCTCAACCTTGAACAATTTCTTTTAAAAATTTCAAAGTTTTTTATCCTTACCTTAAACTTTAAAATCCTAAAAATATTTGTCACTACTTTAATCGAGAGTATTCTTGAATGATTCACCTCTTTTGGAATATAATTAAATACAAAATGCTAGTTTTAATGGCGAACCTATAACTCTTAAAAAAAAAAAAACCTATATTATTCTCGTAAGGTAGGGAAAAGATCTCTAGGAAAGTAAATAGTCTTTCCAAAACTCATTTTATCATCAAATACCTTTGTAGAATGTTGTCATCTCTTAAAATGATATGATATTCTCTTTAGCATATTTGATCAATAAAATGATGCATTTTCCAAATCCCATTCTCACTTTCAAATCATTCATAGAATGCTATCTTCATCTCTCAAGATGATATATTATTCTCAATGTTGCATTTAATTTCAAGAATGATAAAACTTTTAAAAGTTCATTTCTCTTTTTGAACACTTTCGTAGGGCATCATGTTTATCTTTCGGAATGATATTTTATTCCCTTGAATGTTTTTTTTTAATTATAGAAATAATATTTTTTAAAACCCTATTTTATCATTAAATTTATTATAGAATACTGTGTTTTTCTCTTGAGATGGTATGTTGTTCTCAGTATAACATTCAATCATAAAATAGGAGGGCACACCAAATCTGCTTGGTTTTATTTTCTCATAGATTTTTCTGGCGAATCCATTAGGTATAGGTTCATCTCTCCATCTTTAGTAGTGGTGGAAGAAGATCATCCATGTTATTATACTCCTCAACATTATCACTGCTATGGGTGAGTTCTAGCAACTTTGCTAATGTCTTTATTGACTACAAACCAAAAGCATACCTAAACAGACCCTCTTGTAGGCCTTGGGTAAGTGCCTCTTAGGAAACTACATGTTCTAGGTCTTTTAACTCTAGCATATCTCATGAAAAATTCATAATGAAGTTTTAAAGGGACTCGCTTGGTTCCTACCACATACTTAAAGGAGTTTGTTAGTTCTTTAGAGGATTTTGGGTACTAATGAACTGTGCATGAACATTTTTTTTTAAACTCAATAAATGAAGTGATGATATCTAATGGGAGGCCGTGAACCACCAGACCTTCCCCTAGTGCTTGGCTTGTTGTCCATTGCATCAACTTATGATCACTGCACCAAAGAGTATGATGGGTTCAAATATTTTCATGGATGATATTAGACCCCAACCATAAGACTCTGTGCAATCAGAAAATGAAGAAGAAAGAGAAGGATAAGTAAGAAAAGGAGCTCTCAAACTCTATTACTCTCTATGAATAGTTAAACTGGCGTTGGTTCAAAAGAATGTATCTCAATGATGTATTTATAGTGTTATAAGTGCTACAGAAGAAGTTGCACAGAAAATAATAAATGATACATGATATAACTATTTACATTACATATATGGGATTCTATCAGTTATACATGGACAACAAGCTATAATGTGGTTCTAGAGCGCTTTCAACGGGTGCTATTGGACGCCTTTGGAATATGTTTTTGGATACCTTTTGGTGAGTGTCCTAACATCTTTAGTAAGTTCTTGGGACAAGTTGTATGCTAAATAGGTATAATCACCATCAGTGGATGAGTGTGGGTGAACCTCTTCTACCAATTGGGTGAATGACTTCCCTAGTTAAGCCCCTCCACTCCTTTTTGTAAGTGAGTGCTCCTAGGGCAAGTCCTATCCTTGATTGAGCCGAGTGACTACCCTTAAGCATCGTCTGATTCTTTTAATGAGTTTACTTAATATTATTGATTCCCTCAAATTCACATAATATGGTGTACATTAATCAAAATATTCTATTAGATAAATTTGAAATTTATTAAATTTATTTTAAGATGAATAAATATATAGATAATTAATTTATATTTATTTCAAAATAAATCCAATAATTTAAAAATTGATGTTGATAAATTTTTGATTAAAAGGGATTTCCTTTGAGCTATTCATATTTCATAGTAGAAAAATTGAATTAAAATATTTTGATTATTTGTTTAGAACCACGATTTGAAAATCAGATCGGACCGGCCGGTCCGACTGGTTGAAGGCCGGTCCGGTTTACCCTTAAAAATCGGGTGTGCATCAAACCAGCCAAAACCGGTTTGAACCGCCGGTTCAACCAGAAACCAGTCCCGGTTTTCTAAAACCGACCGGTCCAAAATTTTTTTTTATATTTTTATTTGGATTCTTTATTAATAGCTCTAAAAATTTATTTGTTTTTCACCTCTAAAAATATTTTATGTTACTAAATGAAATATTTTTTTATTAAAATATTTAATTATATTATATTTATAATTTTATATTTGTGAATTTTTAAATAGTTATATTTATAAATTAAATTTAAATATGTAATATAAATTAACAATAATTTATATTAAATTATATGGTTATTAGATTTCATTATTATGTTAATTTTATTATTTTTTATAATAATAATATTATTTATTACGTTATCCGGTTCGAACTGTGAACCTCTCCTACGTCCAGTTCGTTGTCCGGTCCAATTTTCACAACCTTGGTTTAGAATGATTTTGGAAAGTTTTAATAAATATTGTGCCTTGTTGTGTTTCATATAACAATGTCCCTATTTTTCACGACTTATATTAACCTTCAATATATTTATACTTCACGATAATATAATTAAATTGCTATATAAATACGATTAAGATTTTGTTTGAGACAACTTTTCAAAACAACTTGTTTAGTATGAATTTATTTTAATTAAAAAAAATTTGTACTAAAAAACTGTTTTAAAAACAGTAAGAAAGTTATTTCAAATGAAGCCGAAATTATCACGCAATACAACTTACCGATTACTAATGAATGTCTAGTAATTTAATTATATTTATTTAATAATTCATTTATAATATTTAAAATTATATCAACCAACAGCACATACTAAATGAATTTAATACTGTCAAAAGATTAAGATCATAATGATACAAAATATATTTTTATTTACTTTTAAATTTATCTAAAAATAACTTTAATATAAAAATAAATAAATAATTTTTATATTATATTAGCAAAAAAAAATTAATTATTATTATTATTATTATTGAGCCCGTCACCCGGATAGGTCGTTTCTTTTTGTAAGTTTGGGGCGCGTATTTTAATCCGTTTCTCATCCCCTAAACTTCGCTTTCTCTTCCACATTTCCTTCCATCTCCATCAAATCCAAATATTTTTCCCAATCTCAAATCTGATCAGATCTCTCGAAGCATTTATCCATTCATCCAGAAAAGAAATATGGATTTTTTTCTCGACCGGAAGTTTCAGTTTGGCTAGTGAGCTTTTTTCGGTGAAGTACTTTACTAATAGAAACTAGTTGAGCATTTTGATTGTATTTTGGCTTTGTGGAATCGATTCTAGGATATATTTTATGATGGTGGAGCTTCCCTTTGATTTGAATCGGTTTCGACTGTAAGCTGAACAGGGTTCTGTTTGTACTGTATTTAACAGATCGGCGGGATTTGTTGGGATCGGAATGGGGTTGGATTATTACGATATCCTGAATGTGAAGAAGAATGCGACAGATAACGAGCTCAAGAAATGTTACAGGAAACTGGCGATGAAATGGCATCCTGACAAGAATCCCACAAACAAGAATGAATCCGAGGCTAAATTTAAGCAGATCTCCGAAGCTTATGAGGCAAGTTGTCTTTTTTTTTTGGGTTTTAATTGAATTGAGCATTTTATTTTGCTACATTACCTGAATTCATCCGATTAAATAGGAATCTCATTGTAATATTTAGGTTGGAAAACTTTCAAAATTAAATTCAGGTTCATACATCTTCAATTTCCACTAATTTATAGTCAAATTGAGTATTTTCACAATGAGACCACAAGTGGTATGATACGAATCTATATGAACCTAAATTAAACAGTTAAACTATATTTGAATTCAGGACATATTAATTGAAGAACCTAAAGATCTTTGAATCTTGCATGCTTATGATCAAAACGAGCTTTTCTATGAGATGAATCCAATGAACCCAAGATCATTCAATTATGAGATTCATAAGACAATTAAATATTAAATAAATGGTGCATGATAAAATGATTCAATATGGATAATCTAAGGTAATGTTATTAAATTTTGGTTAAAAATTTAAAATATTACTCTAAAAAAGTATAAATACATAGTTATTCTCTATATGAAGGGGCATGGACTTGAAATTGGAGTTAGCTTAGAAATATGAAAATATTTATAGTTTTGTATAATAATCACCGCCAATTGCCACCGTCATCCGACTATTGTTAATCAACTGACATTGTTTGACTGCCATCATTTTCTCTCCACTACTCCCACAATCACTATTACAACTGCATGAGACCAAACATGTGCCGCCGACTTTATCCAGTTGTGACAAAGAGTGGGCTTCTATAACATCAAATATATAATAAATTATTTTAATTGGGCCGAGCCCCAATTTTTTTTTTTTTTTGAAATTTTCAATAAAACATTGGTGTCTTAAGCATTTTTTCCCATTTGTGTATATTAGATCTTCGTGCTAAGCTAAGGCATAAAACTTTATTTATCGTCACAAAATTTTTAGCACATAATAATTTGACACCATTTGTAAAAAACATCTCTAACATTCTACAAAACTCTTTTAATTGCTGACAACCAATCTCTCAATCAAGAATAACACAATTTAGTTGGTAATGGCCACCTAAACTTGACTTTAGAAGAACTTATAGACAAAAAAGAGCACCATCAAAGTACGACAGAGTTCTCCAATTATAATACAACATCATGCTAGAGCTAATTAATTTAATGCCACTCATGCATTGCCTTATCACAATCATGCAATTTCTTATCCACCACTACCTACCTAATTAGGGTGTAACACCGCACAGTACCTATAATAGTAATGTAGAGTGTCACATACATAAACATAATATTTTTTTTTCATCATTAAACATTTGATATTTTTCATTATTTAACAATTATATAATAGCTTCACTAACATATCATTTACTATACAAACAAAAGTATTTAAAACTCTAAATTACATCAAAAACCTATTTACAGAGCCACTAAAGAAAATCCAAATTAATACATCACTGAGTTGAATTGTCTGCGCACCTCCGCTGTAAACTCACAAACTGATCTAAATACTAGCCTATTCAAAAATGACCTTTTTCTTTCCTTTACCTATAACAATATCATAAAATTATATTTAACATCATCCTTTATTTTTTTTTTGAAGTCGATACTAAATCATAATTTTAGTATTTAAAAGGTTTGACTATACTTTCATAAACATATTCAATGGAGCCCAGGTAAACCTGACTTTATCACCATTGAATTACAAAGAGGTCACTTTTGACTCTTTAGGGGTCCCTTTTGCCCCACCTACTATGCAGATATCTTTTCTCCGGGGTCCCTTTCGCCTCATATACAATACAAGTTTCATATTTGAGTCCATTTTTTCCACCTGATATTGTAGATATCATATCATAAAATAGCCAATCTTTATTAATTTAATATTTAGTAAAACTCATGTATTCATATTTCTTAACTGTTTAAAATAGTTATAGACATTTCACAATTTATATAGTCATATATCTGTTGCAAGAAGAAATTAATATGCATTACCTATAGAATGAAACTTCTTTTTAACATATTACCAACTTAAGAAAAAATTAAAACAATCATGCTTGTTCACATATCAAACGTCAATAGTTCATATAAAAATGCAAGTGCTTATATATGAATACATCAATGTATTCTCATGGTGACTAATGAAATCATCATAATGCATATCAACTCATTCAAAAGACATTCATTCTAAAGACATTACAAATATATCTAAAATTTATAATCTTGTTATTTATAAACTAAATTACATAACTTACCTCCTAACGAATTTCCACTTCCAATTCTACACCACGTAATCTTCTTATTTGATAAACTATTTCAAAACTTTCTTTTTGCATATATCTGATGAATCCTAGAATTTTGATTAATATACACTTCTTTAGAACTTCCTTATCCATTAAAAGTTCTCTTAAAATAAATAAAGGAAGCTAATTTACTTTGATTCTTTCCTTTGATTCTTACTCCACATACATTTTCCAGATCTTTTGTAATCACTATTCTTTCACTGATATTGCTATCCTGCAATAATAATTCTCACATCAAATTACAATTAATTACTAGTTTCAAATCAATCCATCACTCCTAATCTTTATTACAATTATTCGATTGAATTTAATTTCATAATACTTCAAATACCTGCATTGTGCGGATCCTATGTGCACTTTCTTCTCAAAATTTTCCCTCAGCCGAGACTTCTCCCCCTCAGCCGAAACTTCTCCATAGTAGGTTTCATTGTGCCGAACAAAGCTACAGTCCCGAATACACTATGCGGCCTGTTAGAGAATTCCACTGTGCCCAAAATATCTAGTGTTTTCTAGACACTGTGCCGAACGGTTGAACTGGAATTTATGCACAACCGCAACTTCCCACTGTCTTACCCATTTCTCCTTGGTATCAGACTTAAATTAAAATAAAATTTTAATGGAAATGGGGCCCACATGGTAATTGCTCCTCATATCCATTGAAAGCATCTATTCATCTAAGAATTTGGATATTACAAATCTTCCCTCAAAAAATTTTATCCCAAAATTCAGCTTTTTCATTCATCATCAAATAGGTGAGGAAACTTCTGTCTCATGTCTATCTCTTTTTCCCATGTAGACTATTTTACTTACCTGTTTTTCCATTTTACTTTTATATAAAGAAGCATTCTGCTTCTTAGTTTATGAACATCCCATTCTAATATCATTTCAGTTCTTCAATATAAGTCAAATCTATCATGCAAAATGTTGCAAGCACATTTGAGCTTATGATAACTGTGCAATTTAAAATGATCATCAATAAGAAGATCAAGGCTATTACTCTAAAAAAAGTGGAGAAACTATTAAGCAAAGGTCGCTTGTATTCAGTTGAGTACGACCAAGTGCCATACTCCAAAGGTTATTCCATGCCAAAATTTAATATCTTTAATAGCAACAGAAACAAATAACAATATTAGGCCCTATTCAAAGCATCCTATGGTAATATCGGAGGCAACGATGGAATACTCTTTCACTGTTCAATAACAGTTTGACATTAATTGCTTTCAAATGATATTATGAATTTCCAAACGGCTCACTTAAAACCTTCACTGAGCTTAAAGCTATGTAAAAAGCTTTGACAATGCTAGATAGTAAATAACTATTCTTGATCTTGCTTTGGGGAAAAGAAGAAAATACGTATCAATGACCAAATACAATGCTTGTTGGCAAAATACGAGTATGGAAATGCAAGTAATAACTGAAAGAAAAACATGCGATCCAATTGCTAAAGAGAAACATCAATGTTACTGTCTTATCCATTTCTCCTTGGTATCAATCAGACTTAAATTAAAATAAAATTTTAATGGAAATGGGGCCCACATGGTAATTGCTCCTCATATCCATTGAAAGCATCTATTCATCTAAGAATTTGGATATTACAAATCTTCCCTCAAAAAATTTTATCCCAAAATTCAGCTTTTTCATTCATCATCAAATAGGTGAGGAAACTTCTGTCTCATGTCTATCTCTTTTTCCCATGTAGACTATTTTACTTACCTGTTTTTCCATTTTACTTTTATATAAAGAAGCATTCTGCTTCTTAGTTTATGAACATCCCATTCTAATATCATTTCAGTTCTTCAATATAAGTCAAATCTATCATGCAAAATGTTGCAAGCACATTTGAGCTTATGATAACTGTGCAATTTAAAATGATCATCAATAAGAAGATCAAGGCTATTACTCTAAAAAAAGTGGAGAAACTATTAAGCAAAGGTCGCTTGTATTCAGTTGAGTACGACCAAGTGCCATACTCCAAAGGTTATTCCATGCCAAAATTTAATATCTTTAATAGCAACAGAAACAAATAACAATATTAGGCCCTATTCAAAGCATCCTATGGTAATATCGGAGGCAACGATGGAATACTCTTTCACTGTTCAATAACAGTTTGACATTAATTGCTTTCAAATGATATTATGAATTTCCAAACGGCTCACTTAAAACCTTCACTGAGCTTAAAGCTATGTAAAAAGCTTTGACAATGCTAGATAGTAAATAACTATTGTTGATCTCGCTTTGGAGAAAAGAAGAAAATACGTATCAATGACCAAATATATTGCTTGTTGGCAAAATACGAGTATGGAAATGCAAGTAATAACTGAAAGAAAAACACACGATCCAATTGCTAAAGAGAAACATCAATGTTAAGATGATATCTTATCTATAAATAACCTCCATCACCACATTCCATGTCCTACTTGATCAGGTGGCGAAGTTTGAAAAGTTAAATTATTTAAAATTTGGAAGGCATCCAAAAAAATTCTAAAGAAACAAAGCACTTGATCCTAGATGAGGTGAAACATGTGCCGCTTCTCTTAGCACTAATAAAGAGAAACGAGTATTCTATAATATAGACAAAAAAATGTAATCTATTTACAATGAAAATAAAAGGAAGCAGTCTTTCAACCCGAACCTGCAACTAAAGTTAGCGTTCGGAGGAAATGATAAACCTTGAACTTTCCTTAGTGGAGAGGATTGTCTGAAGTAGGTAACGGGGATCGATGATCCAATAATCTCGTA